GGAGAAAAGTCCAAAGAGAGACAGCCAACGAAAGACCGCCCACCGAAAGGGCAAAGACCTTGGACCAAAGACACATGGACCAAAGCCGATCCTTGGACCAAAGACGAGCTTTGGACGAAGGGCGACCGTTGGACCAAGGGCGACCTTCGGACTAAAGGCGACCTTTGGACCAAAGACGACATTTGGAGCACAGGCGATCTTTGACCCAAAGACGATCTTTGACCCAAGGGCGACCTTTGGACCACAGGCGACCTCTGGACCACAGGAGACCTTGGGACTTAAGACGACACTGGGACCAAAGACGACCTTGAAACCAAAGACGACCTTGAAACCAAAGACGACCTTGAAACCAAAGACGACCTTGAAACCAAAGACGACCTTGAAACCAAAGACGACCTTGGGACCGAAGACGACCGCGGGACCACAGGCGACCTCTGGACCAAAGTGCGGCGACCTCTGGACCAAAGTAGGGCGACCTTTGGACCAAAGTAAGGCGACCTTTGGACCAAAGTAAGGCGACCTTTGGACCAAAGTAAGGCGACCTTTGGACCAAAGTGAGGCGACCTTTGGACCAAAGTAAGCCGACCTTTGGACCAAAGTAAGCCGACCTTTGGACCAAAGTAAGCCGACCTTTGGACCAAAGTAAGCCGACCTTTGGACCAAAGTGCGCCGACCTCTGGACCAAAGTAGGACGACTTTTGGACCAAAGTAAGGCGACCCTTCGACCTCTGGACCAAAGTAGGGCGACCTTTGGACCAAAGTAGGGCGACCTTTGGACCAAAGTAAGGCGACCTTTGGACCAAAGTAAGGCGACCTTTGGACCAAAGGCGACCGCTGGACCAAAAACGACCTCTGGACCACAGACGACCTTTGGACCAAAGCCGACCTTTGGACCGAAGACGACCGTTGGGCCACAGGCGACCTGTGGACCACCGGCGACCTGTGCGTGGACCAAAGACGACCTTTGGGCCCAAGACCTCCGACACGACAAGAGTGAGACCCGCGACAGCAGACATCTGACGAACGACCTCCGCCAGAAAAACTGACGCGAGGCCTCCCTGTGGCGCGAGGCATTTGAAGATAGCGAAGACCTTTCGCGAAGGACGTCAGTCCGGCGAACGCGGTCAATCTGGCGAAGCACGTCAGTCCGACGAAAGAACGGGATCAATCTTACGAAGGAAAGACATCCGCAGCCCGAAGAAAGGCCCCGCTCAGCCTGTTCCCTCCGACGCAAGGCAGACGCCTGGCGAAGCATTGCGCCGGTCTGGCGAGAGGCCTCACCTGGCTGGCGAGTGCATCAGCCTGACGAACGGCGCCGAGCTGAAGCAAGCCATCAACCTGACCAAAGGCGTGAGTCTCGGCCCGGCGAGGAATGTCAGCCAGGCGAAGCGCTTCAGCCTGGCGAGAGACGTCGCCCGACCCTGACGAAAAGTCTCAGCCTGACCCAAGACGCCCGCCGAGGGGCGCCGGCCTGCCCGACGAACGCCGCCAGCCTGGCGCAGAGCGTTGGTCTGACGAACGGCATCAGCCTGATGGAGGGCCTTAGTCTCCAGCTTGGTGAAAGACGTCAGCCAGCCGAGAGGCTTCAGCCACAGCCCGAAGCGCGACGCCGCACGACCCCGCGAAGTGCACCCGCCTGTTTCTGACGGGAGACATCTGACGAAACAAAGAACCTTTGCCAGGTGTAAGCGCGTAGAGAGACCCAAGCAGCGCGGCCCTGCGTTGCTTTGTCTTGTTTGGCCCATCAAGGTCGCCCCTCGTTCTTGCCTGGCGCCACCGCGAGGCGCTTGCGTGCGTTGGGGCTTGCGGATTCTTGTGCGTGTCTGGTGGCTCTCTTCTGGTTTTTTTGTTGGACTGCCGTGAGGGTCTTGCAAATTCTTAAGAATTTGCATGACCCGCCCGGCAATCTCAAAAAAAAAACCGAAGGCAGCGCAATGCCCTGCACATGAGTCGACGCACCTGAGTCGGCCACCGCCGGCACTCGGCTCTTGTCGTAGTCAATTCGTAAGGTGCATCAGCTCACCCGCGGGCTGTCTCTACTCTAGCGGCTGTAGCCCGTGGGAGGCCGCAGAAAAGTGCTAAACTAACTTGAAGCCGGGCGAAGCTTGTGGAGGCTAGTATCATCATGATCATGCTCGAAATCGATTTGGTCGGGATTTAATTTACGACCTGGTGTTGTCAATTATCGCGTCTGAGTCTGACAAAGCCGCTGTGATCAGGCTTGAATCCGGGACAGCCGTGAATATGGTACAAAAGTAATGAAGACGCCGTCGACTGAATTCAGGATCTCGGCGGGTGACAGAGACAGACAACTCTTTGTTGTGGGTGGACTTCAACGCCTCTGACTCAGAGGACTGCCTACACTATCACTTTCTACTGGAACTATGGCCACAGGCTATAGTGAAGTGTCATCGGTAAAGTATCTGGCGGCCTTTGTGGAGATTTTCCCAGTCTCAACTGCTGGGCGGGCTCGCGTGGTGGCTTGATTCTTGTGGTGTCCACGTCTCTTCACAACGAGCGTCCCCAGCGTGGTCTGCTCTGTAACTGTATTGAATTCAAGCAGGTTCAAACCAAGTCAAAACGTAGCGCATGGCGTACTATACGACACAAAGATCAGTAATATTTTTCAAGTTGTACAATGACTGCAGAACTTCTGAAACGGATCTCAACATATATACCTATGTGTATGTATATCAACGCTGCAACACCCATACTCACAACCAATATATAATTGCTTTTTAGAAATAGTATCAGGTGTGGCGCTTAGGGGTACTATAGGAGCTTCAGTCTCTTCGTCATTAGGTGGTGCTCAGTCTTTGGCCGGACGTGGCAAAGACACTTGCAATCGCAATATCCAATTTCCATACTCATAATTGATTGATTTCAAGGCAAGATTTCCATGTCTTTGAAATTCAATCTGTCTCAATCGATTACAATTTTAATTTCCTCCTACGTAATTGCAATTGCAGCTGCGAATATCAAGATTCATAGTTGCGACGAGCATCTCCAGACCGATGAAGCTACCGATTCACAACATCTCCAAAATATCATGACATAGATTTCTCAAGATGAAGATGATCTCGCTTCTCCTCTCTTCGTCCTAAACCGTTCTTACCCGTTCCTCGAAAATGCTTCGCGGAAATTTCTCCGCATCGCACAAGCAAGCCGGTCCAACCGGTTCCGCGGAAAAAATGAAAAAGGCTGATAATGAGAAGATGAACGACGTCGAAGAAACGACAACTCCTATCGACGACGATTCCCCTCCGGGTCCCCCCCAAGTTGCGCAGTCAGGTTCGAAGAGCGCGGCCACTCGTGGCCTGTTGCCGAAGAGTGGCTCAAAGGCGGTTAGCAGAGCGAAAGAGCCGTCAATTGTTGCAGGATCAACCCCAAACAGTCTTCATCAAAGTACTAGTCGAGAACAAATACCGAAGCTAAAAAAGCTGAAGATTGTGTTGAGTTCGAGCGGCGAAACTTCCAGTAGTGCAGCAAATGATTCTTCGCGGCCCCCACCGCCAGGCCCGTCCTCGGGACGAACAAGGAGTGAAGTGACGAAGAAACTCCAGCGGGCGATGGGGCGTGAAGCTGTAGCTGCAGGGGGTGAACGTCCACCGCCACCACCTCCTGCGCATGCAATCTCTGGAACCATGTTGGGCGGAAAGCAGACTACAAGGAAAAGACCTCAAGATCACGAGAATTCAGAGGCACCGGATTCATCCTCCTGGAGCAGTGACAGCGAGGAAGGCTGGCTGCAGACTTGCGATGACGATTCAGATGGCGGCGAAAGCGACGACTCGGATTTCATTAATGGCCTAAAAGGGATCGGAAACAGAACTGCAGCGCCGTTCGATCATGATGAGATGGAGTGTGATGTGCAACCAAATGCCGTCGTCAACGATGCAAGTCGCTGTAGGTCGGCAAAAGATACTAAACAAAAGCTAGCCATGCTGGCCTTTGACTCATTTTTCTATCCGCAGGCTCTCTCCACTGTGAGTCGCGAAAATGACGCACAGGCGCGCGCGATGGCGGTTTTCAAGGACTTCGTTGACCAGGACGAAGCTCTGCGAAACGAGACAGCGAAGGAAAATCGACTTTCTTTGTGTGACTTTTTGCACAGCTTTCTCGACGCTATGAAACTGCCAAAAGGTAAAGTGAAGGCGTCTCGTGTCCAGATGCACATACGCAAGCTGAAGCCAGGCCATTGCTTTGCCATGTGGGCGCCAGCCCAAAATGCAGTCGTTGTCATTGAGCGAGCTTTGATTGAGAACGGCAGGGACTGCATTCTTCACATCTGGGACGTGCAGGCCCCTAGCGACGAGGCACTTCAATCTTTTGAACTAACGACAGACTTTCCCCTCTTTGGCCATTTTCGGTTTTGCTACCTAGTTGTTGTATTTGTAATGACTTACAATAATAATTGTGAATGTCGTGATTGTGATTATCACACTGTATCAAAATGTGTCCAAGAGTGTCATAATGATTCTATGTTCTTAATTATAGTCACAGACAATCTATCAAGGTGTTCAGGTCTTAGCATTTCAACTCCGCCCGTGCTCTTAGAAGCAGGTCATTTCTTTGTCTTTGATGGTCTTCTTGCATTTCAGCAAATGCACATTGTTGGTTGTGAAGTTTTTATGACTTTCTTGACCTTGAGGAGTTGTTCCGTTTCGGCGTCCTAATAAAGGTTGTATTTCTAAAAAATCAGATCAACGATTCCTGCCGGCTATATTTGCGTCTACCTTGCAAGCGCTACGTTGGTGAGTTCAAACTCGCCGGTGAAGCAGCATTCTGCAGGACCCTCGCAGAGCTGGCAAACCATGAGGACCCGCGAGCTTTCGACCAGCCTATCGCTTCTTCCCGAGCAGCTAGGAATGGTATTCTTCGATCGGAAAATGGTGGTGGGGCTTCATTGGAGAAAAGTGATCCGTTCGAACTCGAAGATGCGCAGCAGATGAAGATCAAACGGGAAAAAATCAAATCGGAACCAGAAATCAACGTGTCTGAAAACAAATCCAACGGGCGGAAGCGCCCACAAAAGGACAGCATTGAAGTCGATCCAGAACACGAGGAAGTGGAAGGCTGGGAGCCTCTCAGAAATCTGGCTGCAAGTAGGCCCGATGCATCAAAGGCCCAGCTTGCTCTTGCACTTCCAGTCATGCTGTCGGAATGGTTTCCGCGTATCTGTGGGTTCATCGATGTCGAACAGCACCGCGAACTGGGGCGCCAGACCGTTGTGCAAAGCCGCGATGAGCTCAGGGCTGACACTTTCGGTCGGACGTCCTGGCGGCGATCTGGTGGCTACAGTGCAGCGAAAACAGCGGTCCGATTCTACTGTGACCAGATACTCGAGGACCCGCTGCTTTTCAAGCGTTTATGGATACGCGTGCTCGCGTATGTACTTAAGACAGCGACTCCCTCAGCGGTGCAGCAAACAGACAAAGCATTTATGCGAAAATTCGACGCTCTTCTACGCGTGTCAAGCATAAAGGAGGGCGCGATGAAAATCGTGCGGAGACGGCAGAAACTGGCTAACGCAACGGCCGAGCAGAAAGCTGAAAGCAATTGCACCGTGAACGAAGTAGCGAAGGCGAGTCTGCGACTCAATGGACGCGCATCTCCCGAAATGTCGTGTCCATCTTATTCTGCGGTGGCAACGGCTCTTGATTTCGTTGAAGACGACGACCGACGGCGCTACTGCGATCCCATTCGTAAAGGTGCAGGCTTCTCATCCACAGGCTCTGCTGGTGCCACTGGAGTTCTTGTAGAAGAAGACCAATGCGTCGGTGATTCAGAGTTATGTTGTGTGAGCATCACAAAAGACGATGCTGAGCGGGACTGCTTTCATCCATTGACGAACTGCTCAGACGAGCTTGCGCGAGCGCGTGAGGTCCTCTCAACTTTTCGGATGAATAAGTCGGGCCTTGCGCCGGAAAAAGGAAAGATAATAAGGTTGAACGATATGCCCAAGCCACTCGACCTGCGAGCTCCTCGGCGACGAGTACCACGATATTTGAACTTACCATCACCCTGTGAGTGTGAGGTAGAGTCCTTGACTCCTTGCACTAAAGACCGCGGCACGTCGTGGGATCCGGTGTTCCGCTCTTCGAGCACATCCCTGCCCACCTCGTCATCTTGCCTACCGTTGTCCAGAATGTCCGTCGATGGCAATGAAATCCAAAATGAGAAGGCCACAAAGATGGAGAAGATTGGAGAAGAGCAGCGGGTCCCGCAAGAGACTCCAACAGCTGGAAAAGGGGACCGCAATGGCTCCGGAACTGCAAATCTCAACAAGACTTCTGCAACACAGGCTAAAAGTAAAAAGGAGAAATTACCGAAGAGTATGAGTAATCGCAGCGAAACAGCTGAAAAGCTGTGCAGAAACCTTGCCGGACTGTGCGAGGACATGAAGAGGAAGAGCCGGCGCCATCTCGGAAAAGAAAATAGTCCCCAACAGCTGCACCACCTCCTTCTTGACGTTGAAGAGAATGTGCGGGCATTGTGGTTTTTGTCAGAGCGCGAAGACCTATCGGATTGCGAGTTGCATACTGAAGCACATCTTTCGGGGCTCGTTCCTCCGTATTTGAAAATTACACTCGAGTTTTTTACTTTCAGACATACAGAAAACTTCGCGGGCGATGATGATTTCAGTGAGTCAAAGAAAGAAGAGAAGAAGAGCGTGTGTCCCCTGGAAAAGGGTCTCGACAATGTTGAGATTAGCTCCGAGGATGATCCGGAAAAGCGTCACAAAGGAATAGGTGCAACGGCTGCGAGGGGGTGCAGGGGGCGAAGAAACACTGGCAGTTGCACCGAAGAGAATCAGCGGCAAGGCGAACGGCGCAATAAAATGCTCAATTTCAATGGTATGGGACCGCTTTTGAGGAACGAGCCCATATTCGCTGACTGCCGCGGCATGAGTGCAGTAGTGCTTACTGCATTAACATGTACGCTGTTACTCGACCGTCTCATGTGCCGGAAATACCCGATTTACAAGATTTTCCCAATCGATATCAATATTTCGCTCGGCAACGATTTGAACATTTTGCACTGTCTGCACCTTACATCTCGCGAGCAGAAAGAACAGCTCCACTCACTAGAGGTACCATCGTACTATGATAGAGCACTCCACTTGACGTTCTTGACCAGGAGGTCTGAGATTGACATTGATTCGCAGTCACGTGATGAACAGAAAGATCCGTTGCCAATGCTGATGTCGCAAGACTTTTACAGTTTTCCACCTTCGCTTTGATCATTTTGTGATTGTATAGGAAAGGACTCTCTAAATCTCGAAAAGATTCGGATATTTTCTGGCGATAATTTCACACTCACTTTTACAGACTGTATATATTTCTATTCAGTACTCCATTTTTCAGATGTATTGGCTTGGCGGCGGCCGCGAGGCTGGTGAGCAGCACAATTGGACCATTCCGATCGGCTTGTTAGATGTCACACCAACCTACGATGAGAGGAAAATTGCGATTATCTGTGCTACAAACGACCCCGAGTTGGAGGAGATTCGCAAGCACGTAGTAGAATACGACAAGCAGAAGGCGAGGGATCAGGATACACTATTCGAAAAGCTGAAGGCTAACTGGGCGGCGATGCAAAGAGAGCTCGAGACAGTTCCGTGCACCTGCAGCGACAAGGGGAAATCTCACCTCAAAGCCATTCGAGAAAAGTGTAAACATCACCAGATCTTGTATAAGGGACGCGCTACGATACACATGAAAAGATATGTGAAAATACTTCCTGAAGAAGTCGCGGACCAGCAGTACATTCTCTATGAACTTTTCAAGGACGAATTAGTTGTTGCCGCGGAAGAGCTATGGCTCGTGCTATGTCGTGACTTGTCCCCCGGTGGCTTGACAGATGAGAAAAAGAATATGGGCTGCTTCATACACCTTAAGAATGCGTCATACTGGGACGCTTTCGTGAAAGCCAGAAAGGACGAGACGGCCTATTCTCTCGCAAGTGTTCTCCGCGAGGAGTATAGCAAGAAAACAATTAAGCGGAAAGTGACTTCAGATTTCAGACGTTTGGTGAGGCTCGGATCGAAATCCAGTATGGGGGAGGCTCGGTCGAAGCCCGTGACCTTCGCCGGCATAGACAAGAAAATCCAAAACGGAAGTCTGCAGCTCGTTAGCGATAATCCAATGAGCATTCAGCCGATGCTTCAAGCCGCGAAGCATGCGTCTGACACTACGGGAAAGGTGACAACAGGTCTTTGTCGGCTGAACGCCCGCCGAGATTGGATCATTGATCTGAGCTTTTACTGCCGAATGTACCCGTTGCCAGACCCTCGCTTTGCGTCTCTTGGTCGGTATGTGCGACTGGGGGATTGCGGCAAGGAAAATGAAATCTATGTGCGGGGGGAGCACAACGTTCCCGCAGGTTTTGGTGTTCGCGAGTGGCTAGGACTTGCCCTGCTGCGCGACGGCTGGCTCCTTCAGCTGGAACGTCTTGTGCAAGTGATGAAGGAGGGAACCGTGACGCTAAACAACGAGACCGTTGTTGGTATCGTTTCAGCTTTGCTCTGGCAAAGCGGGCCGCCATTGACGGATGAGATGCTCCAAGAAGTACACTCCAACTGGGACGCTAACGGGGAGCCGGGCGCAAGTAATATGCTCTGGCGGCGCGCGACGTGTCGCTTTCTTAGCGACGGCATTACAAAAAGCTCAATCGCAGTCGACCTTTGCCGAGAAGCAGAGAGGTTGCTTGAAGCAGGTCGCAGTAACTGGTATAAGTCACATGTCCTCTTGCTTGTCGTCTTGCTTAGCAGATTTCTTTTGGAGCATCAGCCCAGCTTTCACCCAGCGGCTAAAGTTTTGCGAAGAGCACGCCAGATTGCAATTACTTGGATCGAGGATTTGGCTTTGGCCGCTACTCGCAACACTTTCACTGAGAGTAATAGGACTAAAGGAAAGCCTAAAAAAGACGGAAGCTCCACTTCGCCACCTGCCGCTGCGAACGCACCTCATTCCGACAATTATCGACGTAAAATTTTGGACGTTTGCATTGCCTGTACTCTGACTTTTGTGGATCATCCCCTAGTTCTGGCTCGATTAGCCAAGCCCCAGGACACAAATCCGAGCAAGAGCGTCGCTTCCTTATCGCTGGGATCCAAGCGAAAGGAGCGTGAAGGCCCAGGAGGCCTGCTCGGCGAAGTGAAAGGTGCGGAAGTGGGTGCGGGAAGTCTTAGCTTGTTGCAGGCCGAGCATGAAGTGCGAAAAGATCTTGAGGATTGGCTCTTCGTGAAAGCTACGCTGACCGATCACCTGCTCGCGGACGATTATTTTTCAACTGGAGGCCGCGCGAGCGCAGAACCCTGGCGGCGGATTTTCCTCTTGTTTGCGGACGCACACACAGAGGCTCTTGCTGAACGACTTGCGAGCTTATTCGAAACTGTACCGGGTAAAGCAGCTCTCTCGAATTTTGCAGTCAAGTATTACGAGGTAGGATTTCACAAGCGGAAAGGGACGAAAGACGCTTTAAAGTGGGAGCCGCTACGTCCTCCAGATAGTGGTCGTAGTGCTGGTGAGAACGTGCTCTGTTGGTACAGAACTCAGATTCCGAGTACCAAGACCATTAATACGACGCCTATTGTAGACATTAATGCTCTACGAGGAAACGTGCTAGTCAACGGCACACCAGCGACACGATTGCCAGCAGAGGTCTCCGAGCATTGGCATTTTCAACGAATATTCGGGGGAGTGGCATTTACGGTCCGACCCGTTGGAGACGGCGTTACTTACAAGACTCGTGAACCTCTCAATGGTATGCATTTTTATATTCGAGCCCGCGACGTTCCCGCATTGCCTCCAGACATCGTCATGGAGCGCGAGGAGGATGGGCGAAAAGCCATCTTGGTTCCACCGATAGCTTTCGTTGCACCTGATGTCGATACCGCAACCGTATCAAGCATAGATGAGACAGGCTACGATGACACGAAGGGTGCGCTGAATAGAAAAAGAGCGCCCGGCGCGGCGGGAACGCGGCAGCGGCTGATTGTTCATGATAAGACTCTGGCAGTCGAAAGTCAATTGGTGGACAGAGCAGTGCTTGCGAAAAAGCCTCCAGAAAGCCTTGTGTCGCAAGCTCCCCCAGGCCACAAGAAGCCCTCTGCTGAGTCAGATCATCCACTTTCACTCAAGAAGCCCAGTAAGGGATCTGAACTTGGGCATAAAGCAAAAACTCTGACCGAAAACAAAAATGTGGCATTTACTTCCACGGAAGCACAACGCGATAGAGCGGATGTGGAAGATCCGGACACAGGTGCACTCCAGGTTCCATGCTCTTGGCCATGCGATTTCTCGGCCGAGCACGACGACTTTCGTCTGGTTCCGCATCAGGACCATGCGTCAACAGTAGACAGAAACTCGATGAAGACGGGAAACGAGACGCTAGATGCGTTCTTTAAAAAGAAAATCGACGAAAGTGGGGCTCTCGTCGATTGTGACGAGTTCAATTGTTCATGGCCGGATGATCTAGAAGTAGAACGGCGACAGCATGCAGATGCAAAACAAGTCGCACCCTCCCCGTCAGGACTGGGGTTGAGAAGGGCTGGAGGCGCTGTAAGCAGCACGTCTGTTGACAGCGCCATTAGCAGTAAAAAAGAAAAACATGTACTCAGTCTCAGTCAGAATTCACATGCTCACAAGAGGAGCCGAAGGGCACTTCAACAACATGTCGGCATGGACAGTTCCGAGCACGTCGCACGATCGAGGGCGATTCTAGAGAGCGGTCTGTTCAAGAATCCGGGCTCGGAAAGGGACGACATGGCCTCGCATTTGATAAACGGTTTCAGTCACTGGCTAACAATGGACGGCCTTGAGGACACTGCGTCTGCGGAGCAGCAACAAGGAACCTCACTGGTACGCGGCAGTGGCCACTCAGCAGGGAATCGGCATGGCACTTTGGAATTCTATCCGCTTGACATTCGTTCCGCTGATTTCGGCTGGAAGAAGTCGCGGGCCCTTAATCTCGACTTGAGCAGCGGGCACCTTTACCAAACGATGAGTAATGGCAGTGAGAGTGCCGGCGCGCGCCTGCTCGCGATGGGAAGTGAAACCGCAAAGGAGCTACACGCGCGGATTCTATCTCGCTTCGAGTTGCCTTGGTTCTGTCACATCTCGTATGTCGGAGACAGGATTCCGCTTACGAATCAGAACGATTCAGCTTCAGCATCCGACGGCTGCAGCGGCAATGACGATGAAGGTGTGGCGTCAGTACATAATGCTCATCTCCTGTCTGATGATGTATGCGCATCGAGCTCGAGTTCTGCACACGGAAATGATGTCTCTGTCACGCCCGATGAACATCCTATGACAAAGATAGACCATCTGGATCCGAGTGCAACTCCAGGATTCGGAGCGCAAATTACCGACGAGCCCGAAGCGAACGCGACACGGGCGTCGAAGCAAGAACAACCTGCGATACTCGAAGTTCGACTTGTGCGTCATCAAAACATGCGGCTGCGAGTGCTTCCATTGAGCAGAGATAGCCAGCCCAGGTCTCCGATTTATGAGGACGACCCCAGGTTGGGTTCCAGAGCAATGCTGCAGGAGAGCACCCGAACTGGGACTGATGGGGCGCGTCATGAAAAAGAAGGCCACAGGTCGCTTAAGCGTACACGCCCCGAGGAGCGCTCTCCGGGAGTTCCGCCGACTGATGCCTCTGAAATGAGACTAACCGCACACAACAAAAAGGCGCTTCGACAACGACGTGCTTCGCATGTAAGGAGTAGCGTTGCCTCGGTCACAGATCCTCGCGCCAGTGGCGTTCCACCGGAATCCACAAAAGATGCAATTGTCAAGCAAAGAAATGCGTTTCACTCTATTCAAAGCGAAAACAACAGAGGTTGTTGCACATCGGAACGCAACGATATTATCTTGCCGGATTTTGCTGGTCGTCGTGTGGCACCTGTCCAGTCGTCGGGCACTCTGAGGGGTCTTCGCCATGGCCTGAAAGTGGAGAGTTTTTATGCTGATAGTTCTCATCTGCACTCAAGCTCAAGGAAAGCGCAGAAAGTCCGGCCCGGGCAGCAGCAATGCACAAGTCCTTCGGCGGTGGACACGCTGGTCTTGGTACCTCATGGCCCAGTAAAGAGGGACGCGGCATCGGGCGCTGTAAGCGTTGACCTTACGCAGCTGCGGTGGCCAACTTTTTATAGATACAAGCTCCGTCCGGATCTTCGAGACCTGCATCCACAGGAATCCTGCGCAGCTAGTGCCTATCTTGCCCTGCTTCATGCGTGGTCAGGCCGCTTGCTGCCTGATCCCTTTCTGGGATGCACGGCAACAGAAAAAGCAGTGCAAATTCTCCGCAGCGGTCGTGTTCGAGGTAACCTGTCGAACACACTGGACAACTCGGATCTTCCGGCCCTGGTGATACTCAGCGCGAACCTCATTGAAATAATGGAGGTACTAAAAGTAAAAACACAGAGGTCACCACCACCAGGTATACATTATAAAGGAATGATAGCGCTGTGAGTATCACTTTGATTTTTTTCACTTAGAAACAAATCACTACCCTTTTCTCATGATGATGGCTGCTTCGGTTCCATTGGAGAGCCTTTTCATCTGTCAAGACCAATTTTGACGTTCTGACTTTTTGAGGTACTTAGTAGGTACTTCTGGTAGTTGCAATGTCGTGTTGAAGATTTACGTATATGCTGCATTCATCTATTTGCATGGTGCGCTTGCGGTGTCTAGATTATCACGTAACGATAAGCATGGCACCGCTCTTTTAATATCGAATCACACAACTCTGTCTCTGATTATGAAACTGACGACGATGTAAGGGCATCTCCCGCAAGTTGCAGACTTGTGTTCCTGAATAGTATACGATCGATCTTCATCTTTGTTGTTTTCATCTCCAGATTCCACCGGAAAGCGGAGCTGACTCATTTACGGCTACTGCGTGGGCTCATCTTATGGAGCCATGGTGCGCTCCTCATGTTCTAGCATGCCTGGCGCAATGCCGCATGCTAGACATCATTGAGTGTCTTGATCGAGCAGGATGCGAAGCTACCAAATTGAGCAAACGCGAGAAATTCGAGCAAGAGCTCCGACGCAGCGAGTTCGGAAATCTCGAGGCTCGGTGGTACCGCGCAAGAGATACCCGCCTTTCTGGTCTGTGCTTTCAGGCCGCGCTGCGGGGCTTTGAGTCCTGGCCGCCCTGCCTTCGACCGACGAAGGAGGAGGTAGACCGAGGCTTTGGCTCGTGCCCGTCGCGTTCCAAAGTGAAACCCAAGGAGGCCTACGTCGAGTGGTTTAAGCCCTTCTCGTACTCGTTTGGAAATGTCCGTGATAGCCAAGAAGAGCTCGGCGAAGTCGTGAAAGATGAGCAGGAGACCATGGACAACAAGAAGAAGAATTCTACTCTTCAGCGTCTACAGCGTTCGTCTGCTCCCGAAGGCGCTCTGGTGGGTCGCCTTCCGCGATCGCATCATCCTGTCCGAAACTCGAATGAGGACTTGCCGTTGCACACAAAGGAAAGGAGCGGCTTTCATAGAGTGTCACAGGGATTCCTGAAAGAAGAAATCGACGCGTTTGACAAAATCGGGCGCTTTCATGACTTTCCGTGCGTTGTCGGTCACGATCCGCAGAATAACTGGCGCAGGTACCCGCAGAAGCTGCTGATGGCAGCAGAGCCGGCACAGCTTGCAGGAATCACGGATCATGTTGACTTGTCCCAAATATCCTGTCTCTCGGTTCGCCGTGCCCGGGAATTACTTACTCTCGTGAAGAAGAGGTTTGTCGACGACGACCCTGATGCGGAAGACGCGGAGGTGTCCTCCGACTCTGCGACGCATTCGCAGCTATCACGCACTGCCGCAGCAACAGAAGCCACTGACTTTGCTCACGTTTTTCTCACACTTTATAGCATGCTGCACCGCTTCGCCAAACAGCAAACTGTAAAGCGAAAGCGTGGAATCTCAAGAAGCCAGGCGATGCAGATTACGATCTTTCTTGGTCGACTCGCCATGCATGATGCAAGCAGCTTGCAGGCAATTCTTCAGCTACAAATGATCGCGCGTTGTTATCTCTCGACAACATTAGTATTAGACGAGGAGAGCAGGAAAAGTTCGCCACGACCATTTCAGAGCGGCAACAAGAGGCGAAAGCTCGAAAGCAGTATCGCGATGAGGGAACTTTCGTTCGCTGCCTCAGCTACAACTGCAGCTCCCGCTTCATCTTCTACTCCATCGACGTCATCAGTTGTCAAAGTCAATACTAAAGATGTACAACTTCCGTTTCTCCCACCTCCGCCGCAGCATCACTGGTATAGGAGACCCTACGAGGATACTTTCAATGCAGATCGAATAAGGTCTCTCATGAAGCATCACGCTGTGCCTTTGTCGAACTTAGAGCCTTCGGGAGCCCAGTCTTCTGCGGCACCTTCACCTCCACCAGGGGATCAGAATGACGGGAGCCAGACCAAGATGAAAAATCCTATCCCAAGTTTAGGCGACGCATCCGACTACTTTGTTAGAGCCGCACGCGAAGCGTACAAACACAATACATGGCATGACAATGGATCGCTGCAGCCATGCGGTAGACGCGAGTCTGAAGATCACCAAAACGACGCCCCAACAAGGCTGGACATAAATCAAGTCTTGGAAAAGATGCCAGAACGTTACGACTTAGTTGTCTCAGTTCCGGCACTTGTCGCTGACATCAACGCGGTTCTAAGTGATCTCGTGCGCGCTCAAGGGCTGAAGTCTTTCTGTCGGGATGTTTCTACATTTACGTGGGAGTCATTCAAGACGTGGGAAAGCACTCACTGCGAGAAAAATCAGGAGGGGAACGAGGCCCGTGTAAGAGCTGTGGAAAAAGTTGCCGAATCTTTTGCACGTAGATTATGCTGGAGTGCGCAAGATGGAGCTTCAAAAAAAGTGGTATGCAAGCGGTTTCTCTTTGTCGAGTCATTTGAAAGCCTCTTGAGTAATTTGGATTCAGGTGGAGGCTTCGCCGCGGGAGTGGCTGTGGAGGCTGCTCTTGGGCGTAAAGACTCCCTTGTTACTAGTACAGGAAGCTGCGTGAGCATCCCTTGCTCTTCGCCTGCGTCATCTCGAAGTTTTAAAAAATCAGAACAGCCAACACTGCTGAATGCATCACATATAGTGGGCAATCACGACATGTCCCTCGGCGAGTGCGGGGAACATGATTGGAGCGCACGAACAAAGACATCGGGATCTCCAACAGTGTTGACACTCACGCGTGAAAGTCTAACGAAGGAAGTCCAGCAGCTACTTGAGGTGAGCAAAGCTTTCAGTTTCGAGTATCAGCGAGAATCGGTGGCCCCGGAAGTCCGACTTTTTCTACCGAATACGGTTGAGAGCCCTGAATACGAGGACCTAGCAAAAACTCGCAAGGAGGAGCTTTTGGAAAGCTGGCGTGCCTCGTCAGGCTCGGAGGCAGCTATAAGCAATATTTTGAGCGCGCAAATGGGCCATCTTAACACTGAACAGCGCAACTCCTTACGATGGGGGTATCTGGAGGAAGTTCTGCGCTCAAAATGGGCAAGTGTCGCGTATGCTTGGGCACGGCTTGAAACGCTGATGCGTGTCCGAACGACCGGCGAAGCCCCCAGCTCGAATTGCACGAGGATTACAAGCGCAGACCACATTGCATGTACGTTCGACGAGCCTTACAGATGTGGGCTGCTGAATATGCCAACGCCGACGATGCTTATGCAGGATTGGGCACGCAGCGCACACAAACTTTCAAACGCGTGTAAAGATGAAGAGAAGCAGCTTGGCTTCCGGCACAAGTGGTTCGATCGCGTGAGGGACTTTGCCTTGGCTGTGCGTGCCTTCCAAAGGGCGCAGCGAATTATCGACCTATTCTCTGCCGGCTCCTTTGGTGATAGGTTTGCCGCTGAACTGGACAACGAGGGCTCGACTAACTGGAGCCCAGACACAAGGCCCGAATGGCTGTGCTTTGAGTGTGATGCTAATATGTGCATTCGTAAAACTCAAGCGGAAATTGCGAACGAGCTTCTGGGATCGCATCGAAATCGTCTTCTACAGCAAAATATGGGTGAGGGAAAGACGAAGGTAATCATGCCTATTATGCTTGCAGCTGCATCGTACGGACCTGACAACCGACTTGCTCGCGCAACCGTTCTTGCGTCACTATTCTCTACAAACCTTGACGACTGGCAGCATAAACTAGGTGGCATCCTCGACAGAAGGATATTGCCACTGCTTTTTCGACGAGATCGCGTTCTTTCTGAGGTTCAACTGAAGGAGCTTAGCAGAGAGATTAAGACATGTAAAGACCGCGGTGATATCATTGCAACCACCCCGGAGCACCGTCTTTCTCTCGAGACGAAAGCACTTGAGCAGCTAACGCTTTTCGCCAAGAACAGTCAGAAAACGGGTCACAACATGGACGCAGCGGCACTTCAGCTTTTTGACATATCGAAATACCTCGATCGGCATTGCATCAACATTCTTGACGAGTCCGACGAGGTTTTGAATCCTAAGTATCAGGTCCAGTACACGTTAGGAAGTCACCTTCCGACGCACGGCGGCGTCGAGCGTTGGAAAATCATTGCCACCGTCTTGAAGATAGCATCTGACGTTGCGAACAAAATGAGGGCTGATGAAACATTCGACGCCGACGTGATCGAACTCGTTGGTGCGAAAGTGTCTCCGCAGGTCGAAACGAAGGCGTTTTTTCGTCCGATACGGCTTCTGGATCATGAACGGCAGGCCGCCGCCTATGAGAACATGAAGGCGCGAGTCGTGAAGTGCGTTACAGAGATGTATCAGGAAGGACTGTCTTCGGAGGAAAAACGAGCATGGACCCGTGTTGTTTTGTTTGCCGACACGGACAAGGGAGAGTCGCTCAGCAAGCTGAGCGAGTCGCACAAGAACCAAGCGCTCCTTATGCGTGGTTTGCTCTCCCATGAGATCTTGCGCAAGGTTCTCACGAAGCGCTTCCGCGTCAACTATGGCGCTCACCCACAGCGGCCTGGATGTCGTATGGCTGTACCCTACACCGCGAAGGACGTCGCTGCGCCGCGAACCGAGTTCCAGCAGCCGGACTTGGCGATTGCTTTGACGTTCTTGACATACTACCAGGACGGCCTTTCCCAAGACAGCCTTCGCGAAGTTTTCACGCAGTTGAAAATTTTAGGAGACGCGCAAGCCGAAGCGGAGTACACTTCTTGGGTGGCGTGTTTGGAACACGACGAGAGGAAGCTCGAAACTTTAAAGGATGTGAAAGCCCTTCCGGAGCCTCTGCGCAATCTCGACGGAGTTAACATAGACGATTCGAATGCGTTCAAGGAGTACCTGTTCCCTCTCTTCGGTAAGCACATGGGGGTCGTAAATTTTTGGCTAACTCGAGTCGTGCTGCCTGCTGAGGCGCGTCAGTTCAAGCACCGCCTCACTAGTACTGCTTGGGACCTGTGCCGTAAAGTGCGCAGCATCACGGTGGGGTTCTCTGGAACAGATGACCTGAAAGCACTTTTGCCTACAACGATCGAACAGCGCAATATGCCGAAGCTGAAGGGAACTAATGGCAGGCAGCTGCGAATGCTCCTCCGTCCCGAAAACGACGACTACGTTGACCTGTCGGGCGGTCGCGTCGCGCAAGCGGTATTTCCACCCGAAGAGAAGATGGGCACAGGAGCTACTGACGAGGGCAAACAAACCGTCTTCAATACCACCACTCAGATTCTCACTGTTTTGTCCGAGCGACATGACATTAGTGTGGTTTTAGACATTGGCGCCTTAATCTTGGACCTGTCCTCTGTGGAGTTTTGTCGGGAGTGGCTCTCACGACGTCGCGACGCGCGCGGATTAGTTTTTTTTGATAAATCGAATACGATTCAGGTGATGCTTCCCTCTGAGTCACGATGTTCATGCAGGAAAGCCGTACAGAATGGGTCGACCATTAGTGGGGTGCTTGGTGGTCGTTTAGTGGTGCCGTTCGCTTTGTCTCCTTTCGAGAAGGACATGTCGGGGTGCCTTTTGTATCTTGACGATGATCACACACGCGGCGCTGATTTTGATCTTCCGACCGACGCGCGCGCATTAGCGACATTTGGACCGGGAACAACCAAGGATAGGCTTATGCAGGGTGCAATGCGCATGCGCAAGCTCGGTCGTGGCCAAAGCGTAACTATAGCAGGGACCCGGGAGATCAGTCGCGCTCTCGAGAAGATCAAGACCAAAGCAAAAATCAATGAGTGCATAGATCTCTGCGATGCCGCCAGTCATGCAGGAGCGACAACGCCTGCAGAATTTCGCGACATGCTGATGACGCCCGCCGCGTTTGATGCCGCCGCGGCGCAGACAACACCCACGTACTTCGCTGTCTCTGCTTATTCTTCCAATGACGCCTCGACGACTCCACTGAAAGTTGAGCAAAAAGATATCACCGCGCTTGAGTCACAGATGAACGAGTGCCAGGAACAAGTTGAAAAGTTGGAACAAGCGCAGAGGTGTCTCGGAGAGGACTTCACTGCGGAGCAGCATGCGAAGCTCCAGAACGCGCGTGAAGACCTCGAGGGGTTCCAGATGCGCATGCGGCGGCAGCGCAGCAAAATGGAAGCGGAGACATTAAACACAGGCGCGGAAGGCTTGTCCGCCGGTGACGAAGCAACGCCTTACGGTGTTTGGGCCGAAAAAAATATTCTTCGTCACATCCCATACGTCGTGGCGCTCGCTGAGCGCAATACAGTTCGCCAGACGTGCGATCTTGTGCCGTACAACGCTCTGCAAGCGAAAACGCACTTCCACAAGGAGCAGGCACGTCAGGCGCATGATCTGAAAGCTAAGGATAAGGGACATGGGGAACGTCTGGAGGCATTACAACGTTATGCAGACGCTTGTGTAGAAGAAGAGCCGTACGAACTTCAGGATCTCTACGGGCATGAGCGCAAATCACAATACCTTACAAAGTACGTCGCGAAAAACATGAGCAAGTACGTTGCCAGCAACCCTTTGGCCTACAAAATATGCGAACGCGTTCGCGACCTCATGCCGAAGGTGAGACGCTATGTGAATGCCTTTGACGACGAACAGGAGCGCGAAATGGAGCAGGAGGTTGAAGACGAAAGGCATCCCCAGAAAGCTGAGCCCCCGACACACTTGCCGCCGCGGATTTCTCGCGGGCTGGAGGACCTCAAAAAGTGCCTAGCCCGCGCGGAGTGTTTCACTTTCGACGTAACGCGAATAGTGGGATCGGGATGCGTATTATACACTTTTATACACAGTCATAGAATAACTTCGTCCACCATTTAAATTATAACTCAAACTAATAAAGATAAACTTCAATGTACGCAGCTTGCAGCAGCTGCTGCTCTTGCGAAGCTGTTGCAGCTGCTCTTGCAGCTGCTGCTGCTCTCTAATAGAAAAGTAGCGAGCTCTTTACTGCACATCAAGCTGCACATTAATAATTTTTATTGTCTTCCTGTTCTTGGGTGGCAATTATATTTATTAGTATTTATAGGGTTAGCGATGGCTTGGGAAATCCTTAAGGGACTCCTTTAAGTGGCTCCCTTAAGGAAAACGGTTTTCCTTAAGGAATTTCTATTACAAAAAGTTACTACAACTTTCCTTAAGAGGAAAAATTTCCCTTAAGGAGGCCCCTTAAGGAAAAGCTGTTATAGCCCTTGGCTAATAGCCGCGCCCTCCTTAAGAGATTCTGAAGGGCTCGAAAGGCTCTCTAAAGCACTTGCGTTGCTAGTGCTACGAGTTCAAAGGCACCGCGAACGTGTTAACGTGTTCGCGGCTGCTAGTTTGTAGGCTACTCACGTACACCAGCCACATCAATCTGCAGCAGGACACTACGCGCCCACCCCGCCCTAGCGAATCGCCCCAACGAACTTCCAACCGCTCGCCCTGTTATATATCGCCCAGCGCCTTTACTTTTTTTTCAAAAACTTCAGGGAGGCCATTCAAATACAGAGAAAACGAAACGACCCCCCTGAAGTTTTTGGGAAGAAGTTAGCTCGCTCCCCTTCCGCGACTACCTTCCGCACACAACAACCGACCACAAGAGCGCGCGGCAGCCCTTGGAGATGGTTAGCCCGTATGTGCATTTTTATCAGCACAAAAGTGGGAGAATTGTAAGGGAGAGGGTGAGCACTTGAAAGGGCAGAGGCCGGCGACCGAGCGTCATCACATTGACCCACGAGAAAGCCAAAGATATACAGTCCTGTGCTTGAAAATCGAAGCCGTGGAGGATGTCGATGCTTGTGAGAATGATAGCCGGAAGCACTTGCATCGCTGAAGGGTGGACCCTGGTGAGCATCATCATACTCATGAGAAGGCCAAAGATATACATCTCTGGGCTTGAAAAGCGAAGCCGCTGCGATGGTCGATGTCTGTGAGAATGATAGCCATGAGGATTTGCATGTCTGAAGGGTGGACCCTGGTGAGCGTCATCATATCCACGAGAAGGCCAAAGACGTACGCCGCTGCGTGTGAAAGTAGTCGAAGCCGTTGAGGATGTCGATGTCTGTGAGAATGATAGCCGTGAGGATTTGCATGTCTGAAGGGTGGACCCTGGTGAGCGTCATCACATCCACGAGAAGGCCAAAGACGCACGCTTCTGTGTGTGAAAGTCGAAGCCGTTGAGGATGTCGATGTCTGCGAGAATGATAGCCGTGAGGACCTGCATGTCTGAAGGGTGGACCCTGGTGAGCGTCATCACATCCATGAGAAGGCCAAAGATATACATCTCTGCGTGTGAAAGTCGAAGCCGTTGAAGATGTCGATGACTGTGAGAATGATAGCCGTGAGGACTTGCATGTCTGAAGGGTGGACCCTGGTGAGCGTCATCATATCCACGAGAAGGCCCAGGGCGTACATCTCTGCGTGTGAAGGTCGAAGCCGTTGAGGGATGTCGATGTCTCGGAGAGTGATATGACAGCCGTGAGGCCTTGCATGTCTGAAGGGTGGACCTTGGTGAGCGTCATCATATCCATGAGAAGGCCAGAGGTATACGTCTCTGCGTGTGAAAGAAAAGTCGAAGCCGTTGGGGATGTCGATGACTGTGAGAATGAATGATATCCGTGAGGACTTGCATGTCTGAAGGGTGGGCCTTGGTTAGCGTCATCATATCCATGAGAAGGGCAAGGATATACATCGCTGCGCGTGAAAGTCGAAGCCGCTGAGGATGTCGATGCTTGTGAGAATGATAGCCGTGAGGACTTGCATGGATGAAGGGTGGACCTTGGTGGGTGTCATTATATCCATGAGAAGGCCAAGGATGTGCATCTGTGTGCGCGCAAGTCCGTCGAAGCCGTTGGGGATGTCGATGCCTGTGAGAATGATAGCCGTGGGCACTTGCATGTCTGAAGGGTGGACCCTGGTGAGCGTCATCATATCCATGAGAGGGCCAAAGAGATCCATCTCCGTGCTTGAAAATCGAAGCCGTTGAGGATGTCACCTCCTCAGCCTTCCCTTCTTTGACACAGTGGGGGCCAGCTTCCCAGCCTTGGCGAGCAGACTTGGCGACTTTTTTCGTTTGTCTTTCTGTCTCTTAGTTAGTAGGCAACCTGTCTAGTTGTTAACCTATGCCCGGCGCGGCGGGCCGTTGATGGGCCCGCTTTCTGGGCATGTATATCCAATGTATATATGTACCAGGGAGGGAGGCCCCCCCCCCTGTGGATGGATCTGGGGTGGACCACGCCAGAGGGGTCCAGCCTGGCCACCTTTGCGCGGTCTGTATGGTTGGCCACATGCAGCACGCCAAGGGGATGGGTCCCGCCTTGCCTCCTCTGCCAGCTCTGTCGGGTACCGCAACACGCCCGAGGGCGCCAGCCTTGCCACCTTTGCCAGGTCTGTAGGGCACAGGCAACAAGGCAGCGGGGCCCTGCCTTTGCCCCCTTTGCCAGGTCTGTAGGGCACATGCAACAAGGCAGCGGGGCCCTGCCTTTGCCCCCTTTGCCAGGTCTGTAGGGCACATGCAACAAG